AGACAGAATTATTCGTTATCTCAACACTTTGCTTGCAAGACAGATAATAGCATGTTTTATGTGGCTAGGATGGCGAACTGGATCGTGTAAAGATTATCGGACAAGATTACATTAATCTCGTCAAGGTAAACGGATTAATGATGGATAAGTGAAATAAAGTGACCTGAAACTTCTTATAGGGTAAAGCATTGCAACTTCTTGTTTTCTGTGTTTTCCAGTACTCCCATAGGCCTATGCTTCAATAGCCCATGGATTTTGTACATTATAATTAGGAAGATAGGTTTTAAATTTTAAATAGTGTTGCCAAACACACAAAAATGCGTAACACCAGAAGTAATGCTTTTCTTGGGTCTGGTAGCTCAACATTGGTTTTATTCATCATAATCAAAACAAAGCTTGGAACAAGGCAAGGAATAAGATTAAGAATGGCAAGGCTACCAGACGATTTGGAATGTCTGCGCACTGCAAAAAACAAAAACACAGAATATCTAAGAACAAAATGATAATAGTTTTCCAAAAACTCTATTTTGTGTTACATGTTTAAAGTTTGTGATACAATATTAGCCAACTATAATGTTAAGCGTTGATAATTCATTAAATACTTGAATTATTTCCTTTGATTCTCTCCTGTGAGCATAATGTCTACTTTTTGGACCTTTGATGCGGAACAACTCTGGGGAACAACAAAACAATAATAATACACGAGTGTCACTGTATAGAGGACATTCTTTTTCAAAAGCTCCTATGTAACCATGCTGTGAACGTTTTCAAGGTCCGTGGATTTATCAACGCGGTTGGAATATAATTTAAACATCGACATTGACCGCTGAATTGTGCACACCGTTTGAGCCAAAAGGACAAGCTTTTAAGTGGATTTTACGAGATGTTGTGAAGGTCAGTAAAGCTATGTCTTGAACAATTACAGCTCAAGGTACCTCTTCCAGCAATAATGAAATCCTTCAACCACCCTTCCGGAGAGAATCTAAAGACTTACAATTTCGCCATTGTCCCTGAGATCCAGGTACGTGCGCGGTTTAATCACTCAACGATATACTAAAGGCATTGTGAATCAAAACAAACGGCTGTGCACCACAGAAGTTCCTTCCAGAGAAATCTTATTTTCCCTTTCACTGCATTGTTTCTTGTCATTCGATTACATGGCACTTCAACGCACAGCTGCTTAATAATGTCGCTTTGTACTTTTGGCTGCATTTGTCGAGGTGTATACATTCCCTAACCAGAGATTGGTAATTATATGGCCATTGAAGAACCTGCATTGTTCATTGTCTGGAAGGAAAGGTACGACGATGACCTTATCAATTGAGCATGGAACGATAAGGCAGATGCAATTTCAAGACATCCAAGGCCTTGTTTAAAACTAATACAAATTTTGTTCAGGACTTTTTCTTGCAAGATTATTAAACTAAACATTTCGAGCGAGACAAAACACCCACACTACCGCTGTCAGGTTGATAGCATTCCATGTAAATAACTTAGTTCTAGAGATTGGACGAATTCTTAGTAACACCTATATAATTTTCGATGATGTTCAATCCATTACATGCCGCAAACATGGCCTATATAAAGCCAATATCAAAACCCTAAATCAGCAGTTGTTGGCCTTAAAGAATTTTCCTTTTTCTTAAACTCACCATCCCAAATTCCAATCTTACCCTAAGCCCTTTGGGTCAATGTCTAAATATACCTCTTGAGTAGAATTTTGTAATCCTCTCTCCTCCATTAGCTACTGTATCAACATGCACCCAAACTCTCCCTTTACCAAGGTACTTTCGTTTGAACGGAACCCAATGAGGCATAGCAATTGGTGGAGCTCGTCTCTTCATTATTGGCTCCCCAAGGTGTGACAACCCCATACGGTTCCACTGTTAAGTATTTCTTTTCTGCCTGGTCTATTCCATTATCATACCTTTCAGAAAAACCAATATATTTTTAAATGGCTGTTCTTATGGGGGGAAAAAGCACACACGGCACTTTTCATTAAGAGGGGCCTTTCTTTTTTAATCTCAGAGGACTGTTTCAATTCTGTTAGAATTTGTGATGCAAGGTTGTTTTTTTGTATTGCGATCTTTGGGTGCAAAGGCGTGCACAGGAATGACATTTGGTTTTTTAAACGGTAAATGTGTTGAGTTCATTTCGAGTGTCAACTGGACTCGATATGCTTCCTGTAGATAGCAAGACTGTATAATGACAATTATCTGAATTCATTATTTGATTGTATAAGTATTGCACAATTATAATAATCATGTCGTAAAACTTCACTTAGAAACTCGAACTCATGGTGCATTTTCGAAATGTCATCTGTTAGACTTTAACGCTCAGAAATTTACACCAATTTTTAAGGCTCAAGATATTGAATTTGTTTAGGTGACGTCCTTAAACCTTAAAAATAGGGGTATGTTATCGGCTGGTTCCGAGCTGCTCGATGCTGCTCGATTTCCTTCAGACATGGCCTGGCACGAGATGTAGCAGCAATTGATTCCTACGGCAGTTTACTTCCGGAAACCCCTGTACTATTTGGCGGTACGGTACGATATTTGGCGAGCACGTTCAGGCGTCCCGTTCGGCAATTAGCAGCGCTTGGCCGTGTTTGCACCTCTCGTGGTGTCTCGACAACCGATCGTCTTCAGCCCCCGTCGTCGAGAGATAGCAAACGGGCCGGTAATTACGATGCGCAGTGGTCGAGGGTGCGGTGTTATGCCTTGTAAACCAGGCAATTCGCACGCGCAGCTGCGCGTGGGGTGTCACATTCTAGCCTCTCTGTAGCCCAGATTCCTTCGTATCGGCTTGGTGAGACTTGGAGCCGCGATCGAAGGGGCCACCTAGGACTAACCCCCCTTTTCATGTCAGCCAAGGCTCGATCCTCAACTATCTGCCGAAATACCATCCTCACTCAGGTATTTTATTGCCCGCGCCGACAAAAATCAATCTAAAGGTGTTAAAGGGTGAGTCTGGTAAATGCTCCTCTCTTGTCACTCTGTTGGACCGGCGCCGACTGTCGCCGACATTACGAGCTGGGAAGCATCATACTCTGGATGTGATGTACGAACACCTTCCGGGACCGTGACCAGCATCGAAACATTCGTGTGGAATTTAATGCGTTTAACGGTCGGATTACCAGGTAGTTTTATCAAATTTTAGCTGAAGAAAAATTGTGGTCTAACTTTCGTTTTTGAAAAGAATTGCACCGAAACATCTTCAATTTTATTTACCTGCTTTGTTTTGTCTCTTTTTAATTTTAAAACAGTATCCTCTTTTTTTGCAGGCAGCATTTGATACCTTGGTCTCCAAATTTTCTTTCGCCTTTTGTGCGCAGGCTTACGAGCGCCAAAAGAAGTAGTGTGATTGAGTTATGTGGGAAAACCTGCAACATCACGTAACGTAAGAGTGCCTTACACTGCCCACACGCCCAATTCTACTGGCAAAATGAAAGTAACCAAATATGAGTTCATGAGATTTGCAACGTGAACCCAAATTGGCCAACTTCGCGGGCAAATTTCCTCCTACAGTTACAATTTGTTTGCCCGTGTCGTCCTTGAGACAAAATGGAATAAGACGGCATGCTGCGTCAATCTCCGGTGATAGTCGTCAACACATTTTCTTTCGTAACATTCACCTTATAATGGGAGTTACGCTGTCTGCCCACACAAACATTACCATGGAAAAGTAGTTTACGTTTTGGTTACGAAACCGTTGTAATGTTTAATGTGCTGGCGTTGAACACTGAACAAATCATGAAATACTGTACGTTTAAGATTGTTCTGCTTTATAAGACAAATAGAAAAGGACAGGCGGTGCATCCTCTCTCCTTTCAGTCAGTTTGCAAGGAGAGTTTTTTTTCTGAAGAGGCCTGTAGGGAAAAGAAAGATTCGCTACAAAAATTGATGTTTCGAGGTCTATATTAAAATTTCAAATTTGGAATGTTGGTGAAACCCCGGAACCTAATTATCAAAGGGCAATGATGTTGACGTTTTTTTAACACGTGAATATTGTTAAGCCTTTTTTTTCAATCTGTTTCGTGACACCGTACATAACCTCAGGTTTTCCAACGGAACGGGGCTTACCAAGAAGTATTTTAAATGAGGTCCCTCTGTTTCATATCCTTTCACAGATACCGTACTAATTTGTTTTCAAACACGATGCTTATAATCCAATCTTCTAACGAAAAAAAACACGAATCGTTTGACGTCAAGTGTGACGTCATGCCTGTCAAGTACAAAAAGCGAACAAAACTCTTTTTCTTGCCCCCTTCCGCTCCATATTGCGCAACCTCTTTAAGTCTTCCCCTAGTAAGTGCCCCCTGCGAAAAAAACCCCTAAATGCGCCAGCCCCCCCCCCCCTAAATGTCGCCCACGTAGGCCCAAGTAACGCAACGGAGTGGAAACCAATCTTTCTTTCATTGTGCACGTTGAGAGCAAATCAAGAGTGATTATCCCTTTAATTTTCTTCGGTGTGAAATTAATTAAAAATTAAGACTGCTAGGCCTACGGGAAATGGACATTTGCATGTTGGCATTATTGTTTCTTTTCCTAAAAACAGAATAGTCCCGCTGCACGTTGTACGCTTTCAAAAAATGCATGCGAAGTTTATAAATGCATATTTATTTTGCAAACGAGGAAATCACCTCGCACACAAAAACGAGCATACGTGAACATGTAGGTGTAAATGCGCCATCGGAAGGTTCAAATTCATCTTGTTTTTCCCATTTTTAGGTGACTCGGTCCTAATCCTATCACGCGAAAGCGCTATACGAGAAAGAAAAAAACCCACGCACCCTGGCCACTGAATACGGCAACCGACCGATGTAACGTCCCCAGAGGCATTGTTATCCTTGTGTTAGTGACGTCTGCACACGGATTTCTCCCCGGGAAACTTGAGCCAGACTCCCCGAGGGTGGGGTTTTTAGATTTTGACCTCACGAATCTCCCACGCTGTATGACTTTGTCTCATCTCTGTCTCCTGTTTTCTCTTTTCCTCTTTAGAGCCAAAGAAGGACGTCGACACACTAAGATGCGGGTGTAGATAGACAACCCCTAGCGATCTCGTTTGCGGGGAACCGTCTGGATGATTTGGGACTCCTCGATGGAAATTGAAGGAGTATGGCTTCGGGGGCGCTCTGGACTGAGCACGCTTCTTTGTATGAGGTCTCTGGGGATGGAGGACCTGTCGCCAGCCCAGTCTACGTGCTCTACACCAACACCACCGGTTTGCCGAGCGGCGTCTGGCACAACGACACGCTGACCTACGGGGTAGGTCCGCGGACTATCGGGATCGCGGTACCCTTCGCTACTTTCATGACCCTCTTGAGCCTGATCACCATCTTCGGTAACTCGCTAGTCATATACGCCGTCAGGACGGAAAAGCGACTACAGACGGTCAGTAATTACTTCATCGTCAGTCTTGCCGTGTCGGACCTTCTGATCGGAATTATCGTCATGCCTATTAGTACTATCTACTTTGTGAGTGGGGATTGGGTGCTAGGGCTGGTCGTCTGTCAGCTCTGGTTATGCATCGATTACGTGTCCTCCACCGCCTCCATATTCAACCTCCTCGTGCTAAGTCTGGACCGCTACTGGTCCATTCGCTTCCCGCTCAAATACATGCGCAAACGGACCGGTAAGCGAGCCACTATTATGATCTCATGTGCATGGCTCTTGTCCTTTCTGTGGATTATACCAATCACCTGCTGGCATGCAATCTTCAATCAAGGTAACCGCGGTGTACCGAGCAACATATGCGACACCGAGTTCGGAGAGAACAAACCCTTGAAGGTAGGAACCGCCATCGGGAATTTTTACGTACCTCTTGCCTGTCTGATTTGTATATATGCAAAGATTTTCCACGAGATCCAGAAACGTTCCAAGATGGTTCTGGGGAGGCGGTCGGTAGGAGGGACGCGGAAAGCTGCTCGGAGTGGCAACAGTCTCCCATCTAAGGGGACCGATGTTGAGTTGACACGAGTCGACGATGCAACCTGGACACCAGACTATGACGACTCCATTAGTACCAGTAAAGACACGTCGAATGAGACCCCTGATCAGACGGAAAATAACAGTAGTAGTCCCAGCAGCGATAGAGGGCGGGCTATTAAGAAGCCCAAACGAATCAATAACCAACTGAGGAATATATCGAACCTAACCCTGCTCACCGTTGGTTTGCACGGCATAGTAGACCCAGAGGCAGTAAGGAAAGCAGCTGCTGGCAAGGACACCTCCCCAACAGCCTCTACTAGGGGATCATGCACCAGGAGCCCGTGTTGCCATGGAGATTCTAGAATTAGAGAAACTCAATTTTTATCGCCAGGCGATGCCGCGACTCGAAAGGAGCCCAGCTCGCGCCATCGCCACCACGTGATCGCTGCTAAAAACTCATTAGATCGGGACAAAGGTACATGTGCGGCAAGTGAAGAACTCAGACCGCTCAGAAGCAGGACTTACCAAACCCAAAACGGCAGCAAGAAATCCATTCTGAGACGAAACAGCACGGTGGAAGGGGACTCCGTGCCTAACGGGAACCTGTCCTCAAGAAAAATCTCCTTTTCCACGGAGGACCTGCCAGGGCGGAGCGGTAAGTCATCTCGAATCGGATGCATGCCGACGAAGAAGAAGCTAACTGCGGAGTTACGGGGTAGCGAGGTAGGTAGGGGCGAACGGGAGACCAAGGGTAGACGGAACGGGGTGACGTCCCGTCTGCTGAGCGTGGAACACCGGATAGATGCCTCAGCTAGCAACACTGAAAGTGACGAAGATGTCTTGAACCATCCACACCACCATCACCACCAGCATCACATCCATGCCAACTCACGCGGTAAGTTCTCCCTGTCTCGATTCAGCATGAGACCCGGACGTGCCACGGAGACCCTAAGACGCATCCGGAAAATGTCCTTGAGCAAAGAGCGAAAGGCAGCCAAGCAACTTGGCGTCATCGTGGGCTGCTTCATCTGCTGCTGGGTTACCTACATGGTCTTCTTTATGATTGTCGCCTTCTGCTCGCATTGTATCGATCCTGACGTGTACTTTGGAAGTATATGGCTGGGCTACATTAACTCCACACTGAATCCAGTCATCTACCCGATGTGCAACTCAACTTTTAGGAAGGCTTTCAAGAAGATACTCCGTATCAAGAAGAGATGAGGGAGGGCAGTCAAGATGTAGTCATGTCCTTGAAGGACAATGACAAGCCAATGACAAGTCAACAAGTCAATGACAAGTTAATGACAAGTCCACGACAAGTCAATCACAGTATGAGTCAAAAAGAAAGTGACCTTATGAGAGAAAAAAAATATTTAAAAAAATATGCGGCTCGCTCCATTTAATAAAAATAACATAGGGATAAAGTACATAATTATTGACTAGTAACTGTGAAAATGTCACGTAATTTGCAGACTATGTTGACAAGTAATGTCTATTTTAATACAAACCTCGCAAAATTCAGCTGTCCACCAATTTACCGTTCAAATGCAATGAAACAAGGACGTTTTCTGCCTTCATGAATGAGCTAAAATTTGCACAGAAAAACAGAAATTACCGTCATTGTTCAAGAAAACAAAAATCCTCATAGTGAAAACACAAAATCTGACAGTAAAAATAACGTTTCAGTAAAATTCATTTGTTCCTGAATGCCTGTGTGCAATCTCTGGTTCTCACTCAGCTCAATAGCTTCAAACCCAATTCCATGGACAGCTAGCTGTAAAAAAGAAATGAGTTGTTTTAGTAAAATATGCATTACTTCTCATAGCATGGATCAATTTCAGTAATTCCTTTTTCAAATGAGTGACAGAACATGCTCGTTTAATAAATGCTTCGTTGATGTATCAATTTAAATTGCTCTGATAAGGAAAAAATATCATGAATCCAGGTCACTTTATTTTTGACTCCCCCTGTCTAAGCGAATGACAAGTCAATGACAAGTCAAAAAATGACAAGTCAATGACAAGCTATTTAGTTCCTGTCAAGTAGCAATTCAGATATTGTAATGCATTATTTGTCATTTTCATGTAATATGAATTGTGATTGACTTGTGAATTCACTGATGGTGGATTTGACTACGACTGGGAAGGTGTAGTGCTGCAATGTCACATTTCTAATTGTATAAATTGTACAAATCAAAGAAGACATTTTTTTTTAAAGCTACACAAAATTTATGTGATGTCTATAGAATGTGCTGTTGAATATACATTTATTATTATGTGCAAAAAACACTTATCTCTGAGCAATTTTCAACGAAAAACGCTGTAGGAAGACTTTACGGTAGATCGCACAAGATTATTGGCCAAAGACTTGGGTTTCTGAGTTAACTCTGGACTTCAATATCGTAGTGAAATGTTCCTTAAAATTTCCTTTTTATGCAAAAACCAGTGTCCTTTTATTCATGATTGACAGGCAAATATGTTACAGATTGTTGAGAGTATTTTTTGTTAGAATTACGATCCCTAAAATACAGGCATGTTTGTATTAAAAGCAAAGGTTTCTACAATGTTGCATTATGCATATTGCTGAAAACCGACGTTGGCACCAATTATGTTCAATGTCAAGTTAGCTACAACAACTTTTTCACTGCTGTGTCGTGTTGTTTGTCCGCTGGGGTCATTTTTGTTGCGGGCAGAATAATCACAATCTTACCCCGGAAGGGTTGTATAGTAGAGACTTTTACCTCTTTAATTCATCAACTGCTCAACACTCTTTCCGCAAGGTGCTGGATGCACCTGCGAGACACGCGCTGTACATACGGCTGTGGATGATGTGCGTGTATGTTTGGTTTCCATCGCATTCGATGCTGATGCGTCTTCTTCCGGTCTGGCTATCCGGCACGAAGCTGCCGAGGGATCCTTCCAAGCTGCCTGCTATTGCCACCTCCAGATGCTTGTGTTGTTTTAATAATTCAATAAATCAACTTTGTCACCGATTGATTTGAATTATTGAACACGCGACAAGGGTCACCTTGCAAAAGAAATCACACATTTTTATAACTTCCCTGTGGATTTCTTAGATTAGACGGGATGGCCTCTTAGAATCACAAAGATACAAAATGTCCATTAAAATGAACTAGCAATCCATAAAATGTCACTGGTAAAGAGAATCGCGGGCAATCCCGACCGTCGTAAACGATGGTACTGCAGATCGTTGGTCTGGGTTCATACTAGTCTTAGCTCAAGAGGGGGGTTGAGATTATGCGAGCATTTAATCTCGTCTTGAAGCAAGACCAAATTGAGATATGTGTAACTCTTCTCCATTTGTTGCCTGTGTTTATGCATGTACATCTGGATATAGAAATATGAGTTTTATGAGAAGAGAGAAAGAAGATGATTGATTGAGAAAGGCACGTGTGTTGGTATTGAGGTGTTATCAGGGAAACTCGTTCCACCCCCCGCCCCCTCCCCACCCCCAAGCAGGGAAGCATGATTTTTACAGTAATGATTATAAAAAGAGAGGAACTGTAGTGTGTGACAGTTGGGGAGGGGGGGTTCCTTGATGCCGAGATGTTGAAGATTTTCTCTGTATTTTTGGTATATTTGGGTTTGTCACATTTTAAACCACACAAGTTAAAATCCCTAGAAATCTTATAGGCCAAGATGCTTGGTCTTAGTTTTGACAAAAACAAAGTCAGTGGGATGTTTTTTCCACTTCTCGTTCATAGTGGCGGAAAAACATTTCCAAGATTGGCATCGTGTTGGACTGTTGTGTTCATGTTATTGCAATTAGTAAGAACCTTTACATAGAAGCGTGCGTGAGAGAGCATGGTATTTTAAAGCATTCGTGATGGCATGTTTGGATCGCTCTGCTCTTATATGGAATGACAGAGGAGCGAAAGCTCGGGACTGGGGATGTAAAAGAAAGGTCGATGGTACTCTCAATTTAGGTCTTAAGGAATGAGAAAGTGGAGTGTCTTGCCTGGCCGAGGCATTACTGGTGTGCACTTCGATTAACATAAGCTAAAAAGGGCTAATGGACTCGAGAATGTAAGGCTATTAAGGAGGCCCGATTGAGGCAGATAGAAACGGAAAGAGGGAATGGCGATGCAGTCTGGACTGATCAAGGGAAAAGATCAAAAGATGGGAGACGGTGAAAAAGTGTTAAACCACAGGACTGGGCTTATAGTCAGATGAGTGGAAGGTGAACTCGAGAAAAGGCCAAGACGGTCATTGATGTGGATCGAAAGGTGAACGTGATGTTTAAGCAGGCAGATCCTAAATTAAGTTTTTGCAGACGTGGGCTACTGAGGACTACGGGTGATTTAATGGATGAATGAGGGATGTTGGGGATGAATGAAAGAATCGATGAACAAGTAGTATATGTGCAGTCACAGGTTGACTGACTTGTGTGTTTAATGCAAAAACACTTTAGTTAATGTGGCGCGCTTCCGGAACCCTAGAATAGGAAAATTAACGTGCAAAATGTCGTGTATTTATAATTTGATAATAACGTGTAATTTTATTTGGTTCATTGACTTCTTAAGAAAATCACCCCCGAAAAAAGCCTTTGTAAAATTGTTATGGAAACTGATAAATCGCCTGACATGATCGCCAGAAATATCGTGCCAATATTTGATCTCTCACTTCCGAAAATCTAAAATACACACGGTTCAGCGCAACTTACGAATGCACACCCGGTATCCCTAAATCGGTGTATACGTAGATGAGAATTTCCGAAATTTGTGGTGGTCATTAGGTGAAAACCGAAAGTGAAATAAAAGACCAAGATGTCCTTTAGGGTTTCTAAACTGTGTAAAGAAACTTAAACGACTCATTAGTATTTACGAAAAGAAATGAAATTGAATGGGTTTTTACCCATCTCCAAGTGATTTTTTCATCCATTTTACTTGAAGAATACCAAGATAACTTTCAATATGAGTGTTTCTTGGGGTGCTTACGGTTTAGAAATCATTCTGCCAAAGCTATAGCTAGTGAAAGGGCAACTCGATGCAAAATGCCCACAGGCGGGCCACGCGAGGGTTCCGGAAGCTCGCCGCGTGACCTTTTACTTTTAGGCTTTTTAGCGTGTGGTATGTGTACCCAATTACTGTGGTATATTAGTTTGCCATCTCAACAAGACACGAATGTTCCTCTATCATGTCGGTTAGAACTTTCTCGACATTTGAGTCTTCCTGTGCGTATATGCCAATCAAATTGATGTGATTTCCACCGATTAGGTATGGAGTTATGTGCATGGTATGATTTACAGATGATAAAGTGAGTGGGTGGACATTCTTGCGTGTACGTGAGTGGATGAAGTACTAGACGGAGATGTAATTAATTGTCGAATGAAGCAAGCACGTATCCTGGAATATGTATAGGAATGAAAGAGTAAAGGTGCATGCAAACGAATATAAGATAGCAATGACGGCTCTAGATGGTAGGAGTCTATCACCCGCCCCCACCCCCACAAAAAAATTAAAATCATGCAAAAAAAGACATGCATGCTAACCCCTCCCCCTCCCCTTTGACAACTAAACCACGCTGTTTGCGCTAAACCTGGATCCGCCCCTGAAGAGATAGTAACTGTAGTTGGTAACTGAAGGGGACGACAAGGCCTAGACAAAGGGTGTGCAGTAAGGATGAAGACAGTGAGAGAAAGTAAATAGGGAGAGATGTGAACAGCTTTACCTTCCACACAATATGACATATTTAGAGAACGATTGTGCTCTGCGACGCCAAAATTCACGCAATTTAGCAAATTGACTTTAGTCTAAATAAGTAAAGATTGTTTTAAAAGAAAATATAATTTGGGGGTTATTTTGGACTTTGTAACTTATGCCAATAACCTAAGATTTGCGTCTGCGTGTAGCCTAACAACGGTTACAAATCCCTATTTGAAAACTATACAGCCCATTGAAAGAACTGTTATGTTGGGGTGGCATGATGGTACGATCTGCGGGTGGGGACCAGTGAGAAGATATGCTGTGGGCTTCGCGTTGCGACCCCTGCAGTAGACCAAGAGGCGTGTAGCTCCCTTGATAACTATTCCAAACTCAAGAAACCCGGAAAATACCTTTTCATCAGGTACGTTAAAGGAAGAAACCATTGTTTTTGGTAAAACATCACAGGTCTGATAAAGGCTTGGATACCCTCTTCGCATATAATAATTACTAACGACGTAAAGGAAAATAATATGACTACATTTTTCTGCTGCGTTTTGATTAAAACAACCCGAAAGGTGAACACGTGCTGGTACGACACATGATGTATCAATCAATGTTTCATTTTCATTTTCCCTGGAGTATTTTATGATTATCAACGGCCTTGTATGAAATATTGTCGTAATTATCT